AACCTGCCTGTCTCCTTGCAAACTAAGTTTGCATCCTTAGAAAAATTGGAATGACATGTGCATTATGAGCTGAGAGATCATTTTAAGTTACTGATTTAAGGGCCAACTGTTAAGATAAGGGGGAAGAAAATCTTCCTTCAGGAAGTATTTCCAGGATTTTTTGACAAGACCAAGTGTTCAGCAGTGTCACCTTATTTTCCCACTGCTGCTGTGCACCACTCTTGCCAAAAAAACCCAACAAAAACTGGTCATGAGTTTGAACTCACAGTCCTCCCCTTTTTTTCCTGGGTGAGAAGTGTTGATATTCTCCCTTCCTTACACATCAAGTATGTGCTGCTTTTGGACTCTATGACTTGTGGCACTTTCATTGCAGCCAAAACCACCTCTACTGAGGAAAGAGGTGACCCAGTGGGAGATTTTAATGCCATCCCATTCTGTTCTGTGCATGTCTTGCTCCTCTTTCTCGTTTCTCTGTCTACTCAGCTGCTCCCAAGCATCTGCCAGGAAGGTGATGGAGCAGAACAAAGCAGTCTGTACTTCTGTCAGATGGCAAAGCTCAGATGATGCCATCTCACTTTATTCCTTGAATTACAGGAACCTGAAGGCTCTTTTGAGGGCGTGCTTCTCTGCAGCTGATGTTTCTTAGAGATCTTTGCTGCCTTCAGGGCAGCCTGTCTGAGCTAAACAGCACAGGAAAGCTCCTTTTACTGGTTTCCACCAATGGTCTTGAAAGGAACATTGATATTAATACTTGTATTGTCTGCTCCATAAAACGGGACCATATTGCTCTGTTAAACCAGAAGTCTGAATTTTGCTTCCAGAGAGACTGAGACTTTCTAAAAATTCAAAAGTGAACTTAAAAAGAAGTTTTTCCATCTGTGGTTTGATTTCCATAAAATAAAAAAATAATAAATGGGTAATGTTTTTGTGCCATTTTTTGTTTTTCTTTCTGTTTCCTTTTTTCTTTTTTTTTTTCTTTCTTTCTTCTTTTATTATTATTATTTTATTGTTGTGCCCTCAGTAGGACTGAAATTCAGGAGCATGTTGTAGGGCACAAGTGAGGTTTGCTTGCAGAGCTGTCCTTGTAGCTCTCACCTGCCCAAATGACAGCTAGTGCTACTAATCCCTTACTTTCATTATTAAGTCAGTCTTTGTAAGAGTCATAACCATCTTGAGGCGTTCTTGCTGTACGAAGGGGAATCTCGACGTTGAAAATAGAAATGATCTGGACTAGATTTAAAACTATTGCAAAATATTTGTCCATCCACTGGCTGCCTCAGAGGACCTTTTGCAGAGGGGCTGTTTTGATGCACAAGCTTGGCAGGTCACTCTGGCATTTTAAAGCAACTGGTACAAAAACATTTTGTAAAATAAGGAGAGCGTGTGAAGGAGCAAGGATAGCTGGAATCAGCTAAGAAAACTTAGGCTGTGGTTTCATTTCTGTCTCACTGAAGGCAAACTGTGGGATTTGGACAGGAGCAAAGTATGAACAAGATCCTGTGTTTTTTGTGTGAAAAGCAGAGTGGTATTTCATCTATTTTAAAAAGGGTTTGAAGTATTTGCAGAGCATTACCAGTACTGCAGACATGAGTAACAGCAGAAATTCCATTTTTAATTGTTTTGCATTCCTTCATCTTAGGATCCTGGATCTTTTAATGCACACATTAAATGAAAACTTAGAGCTTTTGTTTAGGGTGAATATTTTCTTCTGCAAGGGAAGAACTAATGCAAGAGAAATTCTGGCTCAACTGATTAAAAGCTCAATACAGGAAACTTTCACCATGTTGTAGAGAAATTCCAGAGACAGACCTGAAAGAGGAAACAGTCTTGGCTAAAATCACTTCTGTTGGATGAGTAATGGTAGGTTTTGACTATGAAAAATGAAGAATCATGAGCACCATCTATTTTGGAAGCTTTTTTTTCAGTTTTGCAAGGAGCATTTTTGATATTTTTTTAATAGTTTTGAAATGTTTTTACAACAAATAATCCAGTGAAAGGGGTGAAAAATGGCACCAAAATCACTTGGGCAAGGTAGTAGGTGGGTTTCTCGAGTGGCAGAGAGAACTACAAATGTTTACAGATGCTTTTTTGTGGGGGAGTGAGGGAATTGGTGGAAGGATGGGAATTAAGGATTCATAATTGTCATAAAAAGCAGATATGAGGGTTGCTAGGAGGACAGATGAAATGAGATGGACATGAAGGGGAAGTGAATTTCTCTTGGATATCCTCAGCACCAACAGTGCAGATGGTTCAGATGAGCACTTTCCTCTACTAAATATTTCAGAGTTGTCTTTGCTTAATGCGATGATAAATTTAGGAAAAAATAAAAATTTGACAGATTCTTGTTGATCCAAAGGGGGACGATAAAAAATTGCTGTGTACAAGTGATTATTGGAAGTCATAGTGTGTGGATGCTAAAGCAGTTTATAAAGAAGAACCTAAAATGTTACAAAAAATAGCTTAAACTCGCTTCTTCTTTTTTGTTTCAGTGTTCTGAGGTCATGAAACTTAATCCACAGCAAGCTCCATTATATGTGAGTACCAATTAAAATACTTTCTTTTCCGTTTTGTACTATTTACCCAAAAGGCTTCCCACCATCTTCTTGGAGATGCTGCTCCTTTTCTCTTTGCTCCCCGAGGAGGTTATTTATATTAATTCAGTTGCAAATGCTCAGTGATAAAGCCCAGGTAAGTCACAGAGCTCCTCTGGCTTTCCAGCAGGCTGTTTTAAATAACTTTTGAGCCACACAATGCTGTCTCTGTGCAGGTATCCCCCGCTTTTATTTTTTTCCCCTCCCTTGGAGCTCATGGCTGTGCTCGTGTGATTTGATGTGTTGAGAGGTGGTAAGAAGAAATTGCCTGTGTGGAAAACGGGGCATCCCAGTGTGCAGGGCTTGCCTACTGTGGTAATATTTTTTCTGGTTGGGGTTTTTAAACGTGGCAGGGAGGAACTGGAAGCCGTGCAGGGCTCGGCTGCCTGCAGCAGGGTATGGTTTACGTCAGCCTCCTGGAAGCTCGTACCCTCCATGGCTCCATTAACAAGGAACAAGCTTCCTCTCGCTCTTGAATAGCAGCTTTGTTGCAGAACGTGGGGACTGTCAAATTAGACCTGGGATTGCGGGGGTGTACGAATTTGTGTGTGTTAAATTTGTGCCAGAGCTGCCAGCCAGGTCTGTAACTGTTTGCTTTCCGTGTCGCCTTGCCCCGCTCGGAGCAGGGTTAGCTGCTGAAGCTCATGGCCCTGCCCAAAGACCTCGCCAGCAAGGGCAGAGCTGGATGCAAGGATGGAAAATTTGAAGGGAAAATTGCTTGCAAATGTGGCTTTTAAAGGGAAGGAAGAAGAAACAATCAGGACTGTTAGTAGACCTGTATCTTGGAGAATGTTGTGTGTTGTAAATAATGGATCGTATTGACCTTTAATGCCATGGAAGCTTTAAATTTTGCCTACTTTTAATTACCAACTGGAAGTCTGTATTGGAATTTATTCTCTACTTATTGTGCTGTCTTGTGTTTGAAGCAAGATGAAAACATTGCACAGTGTGACCTGCCTTTGGGAGGATGCTTTCCTGCAGTATGCCATATTCTGTATTTTGAAACTAAATGTTGCCTGAATTTCGTTAAATATCAAGCCTATTTAATACACCTTGACTTGAAAGAAACTTGATTTAAGCTTAAGACACATTAAAAGAGAATGAAACTTATGTTCAAATATATGATAGAGTTGCTACAGTAGAAACACGTGAATGGTGAAATACAGGATAAAATTATCCTCGAGTCATTTGAACAGTGTATGACTTAACTAATCAGGAGGCTTTGTTTTCTCAGTCTTATCTACTGAATGAGTTTATTTTCCCACTCTTTTGGGGGGGGGGGTTATTTAATATGTAACACTGGAGTGGTACACTTAAAAGTCCTCATCCCTATATGATAGTGAGAACTGGGCTGAAATCAAACGTAGCCCAGTGTAAAATAATGACTGTATGGCACTCGATATAGTGTTTCTTTGCAATGCAAATAAGTTTGTGACAACATTATTAATACATCAGTGACTCTCTTTTCTCTCTTCCTTCTTCCCCGCTGACCAGGTGTATACCCAAATCAGCTCCCTTTCAAAACAGAACATTTTGGTAGCTTAAGGAAATTTGAAAAGTCAATATTTAGTCATTCTGTTTGCTCTCAGTATAAATGCTTTGTACATTTTAAGATCAGTTTTGTTTTCCTTGTGTTGTTAATTGACAGCATGTCTGAGAGTTGTTAGGTCTGAGCAGAACATAAAGAATAATGCATCTTCCTGGTAATTTTTGTAAAGGTAGACAACAAGAATCTTCACTGTTTTGTTCTTGACACCTTTGCATTACATCCTTTGCACTCTCCTTTTTTAATCCACTTAGATTCAGGATTACATAATTTTGTTTATTATTTTACTAAATCTTGCATGAGTTTAATCCTGAAAGCTCCATTAGATAGTTGGTTTTATCAGCAGCAGCATTACTGAGATCCTTTTAGGAGGAAAAATAAAAGATTACGTCTCCAGTTCAGTTCCTGGAGGCCAACTGGAGAGTTAGAGCATATTTTATCCTATCTGCTAATCACCTCTTTGCCCAGATTAATGCTTTATAATTAAGAAAAGGGATTTGGGAGCCACAGTGTACTTGGGACCAAAGTTTTGTGGGTGATGGAAAAGATTGTACTTTCAAATACACACTAATAGGGGGATACGGATCCTTGTTTTATTCAAATCAATGTGCATTAATAGAAAGAAGACCATCTGCTGCATCCTTCTTGGTAGTTTCTTTTGGCTTCTTGGACTTTTATTTACCTCTTCTGTAAAAGTCATCTGTCCTGCCCCAGCAGAGTTTGTGACCACTGGAGGTCACAGCCTGTAATGATGAGACTCTGGGCCTTTTTAAGTGTGAAGATTAAGAAATAAGGGGGAAAACACATCCTGTAATAACAACAACAAGTCTCATGTTTTTGTGATTAAATAAGTCTCATATAAGCTTTGCTTAATTGTTCTCTGGTTAATGAGGTTACCAGGAACTGGAGCTCAGCATTGTATTGCTGCAGGTTTGGGCTGGAACCACAGCTCAGCCTTTGCTCTGCCAACAGCTGTTCCCAGGAGCCAGGTCCCCCCAGGAGCATCGTGTCTGTCACCTAGAGCTGTTTGTTACCTCCCTTAACGCCTTTTAACGAGCTCCCCTGGCCCGGGGTGCTGCTCACAGCAGCACAGTCATGGGGCAGTGGGGCTTGTGCCAGGAGAGATAGGGCAGGGGAGTGTTCCTCAATATAGCCCGGGTGTGATACCACCAGTGCTCACACGGGCTGTAGGTCAAGCAGCTCTCCCATCCTACCACTGCCAACACGTCATTGCCTTTAGAAAAGGCAGTGTGACTTTGCAGAGCCTGTGGCTGAATATTGTGGGGTGAATAAAGAAATGAAGATATTCAAACCAGTGTCTTTAAGATGCATTGATTTCTTCAGCTGCAAAAAAAGATCCATTTGGCTGGACAGTCCTTTGGTTGACTGCCCTCAGACTGCAGTTGGGAATATCTTTCTTGATACACAGATACTGGTTTAAATCCAAAACTAACTTTGTTCACATCCCTCTTGTATTTCAGTGCTGCCCTGTTGCTGCAGAAATTCTTACCAGGCACAGTGTAGTAGTGGATGAAGGGTAGTGTTTCAGACCTTATTTCTGATGTGTCTGGGACTTTGTGCTCAGGAAGTCCAGGGTCTCAAAGCTGAAGGACCAAGCTATTTGCTTGCTATGAGTACTTTAGTGGAACAGGAGGGTTGCAGGAGACTTTGGTTGATGGGAGGTGGGAAGTCAGGAGCTTCAGTTTTGTTTGTTTTCCTTAAGTATTTGCAATGACCTTGCTGATCATCTTTTTATAAATACTCTCTCTCTCTATCATCAAAAGTCAAAATTTCAACTTCAGTATTGTAAGGTGCTTCCTAGCTCTTGTCAATGTGTTATTGCAATATCCAGATCATCAAGGAGTATGGGGAAAAAAGGATGAGAAAGGCTCTAAACAATGGAGGTTTGTTAGTAAGTGACCTTTTTATTGTTGTGATTCACTAACCTCTCTGTTTATAGGTGAAATAGTATAAATTAGTCACTTAGCTTAAACTCCACTATTGCTAACATCCAGGCAAGAAAATGGGAGAGAGCTTTGCAAAGGTGAAGTGTTGATCTTTTTAGAAACATTGTCATTAATTGGGAGTCCAGCAGAGTATTCAGCAGGAGATTTAATTACAAAAGGATCAAGGTTTCTGACAAAACTGTAATAAATATTGAGTGCATGTGAGGGAATTATCAAGGTTGACTCTTCAGCTACATAGAGTCCTGAAAATTGTACTTCAGAAATGATGTGCATGGCTTCTGATTTCAGTCTCTGCTGGCTGTGGGGTCTTTGTAGTGTTATTGTCAGTTTTCTAACCCAGTCACATCTCCTGCCCCTCTGAAATCAGTGTTGTTTTGTTTTTTGGTTTGTTTGGTTTGATTTGGTGTTTTTTTTCCCAAAAATAACCTGAGAATAGTATTAGGTATGAATGGTTTGGAAAAGGACTGGGGTGACATGCAGGGAACATGTTGGGAAGCATTAAGCTCATCTACTCTTGATTACAACCAAGGCTACAACCTTAGATCTGCCTTTAAGACAGGAGTGTTTTTTTCGTGGTGATAATGATCAGTGGGTGTGAAATGGAAAAGATTAGCAGCTGGAGAAGGATGATGTATTGCTGCAAACTTTTTTCCTTTTTCCTTTTAGATTAAAAGGAACAAACTTGTTTTAAATCACAGCACTCCTCCTCTGCGTGGTTTGCCTAAGGTGTGCCCACGTTATTTGGTGTGACAAACCTAAATGTGTCATAACTGGTGATTGCATGAGAGGGCAAACACTTAATTGATAAAAATGCTGCCACTGACTTTGGTCTTTAATCAGGTCTGTGGATGGAGTCTCTTGTCTAAACTGCCACTTAGGAGCTGTGTAACCTGCAGAGTTTCTCAAGGAGACTTTTTGATAGAGATGAGAGCTCCCACTTTCAAGGCAAAATGTCATGCAACTTAATGAAGTATGAACTTCAAAAGGCCCAGAAAGAATGCATTGACCCTCTCTTAATATAACCTAGGGTTTGGGTACAGTAGGTCCTCTCTTCTGTTAATGAATGAACTGCTCCTGTAAATTTCCCAGTGTGTCCTGCTTTAATCTAAAATGGAAAAAACCGATAATACTTATAATAATCTTTTACCCACTTACATATTCATATCAAATGATAATTCTACTGAAGTGCATGGTTTATTCCTGAGAAAAACAATTGTGATACCCTCTGATGTTTGTGTTCTAAGAAAAAAAAAAACTAGCCTCTTTTGAATAAATATTAAAGGATTGAAGAAAAAAAGGTTCTCAATACAGAGAGCTTCAGGCTTGTAGCAGCAGTCTGTCCCAAGTGCTGTGGCTCCCAATGTCCCTGAGTGCTGAGAGGTGTTGCACCTGCATGGGCCTGACATCCAGAAACCATGTCGGTGTCACTT